TCTGTTAGCATTTAGGCACGAAACAGTCATTGAAATGTTTATAGCAGAAACCACCGGAACACCAGACACCGTGGTAGCATAAGGCGGCTAATGAAGCATATAGGGGTATAAGTGCTTATTTTCCAATACTAATAAACAAGAATGGGGAGGCATTTTCATAAGTACAAAGTTTAATTCCCTGGCAGTAGGAAAAGGGCTACTTGGGAGCCAAGTCATGAACTAGGAGGTAACAGCTGGCCCCCGGCAATTCTATGATGAATGATAAACACCTCAAAACTCTTGGCAGACTACTCTCCTGACTTTGCCAGGCACTCTCAAAGGTTCTTCTAAATGCCTCCACCTACTGGCATGCTGGACAATAGTGTGCAGTCTGGCTGCTTTTGAGTTTCCTGGGAACCAGTCTCCCCAAAGGCACCCTGGCATTTGGAAGGCTGGCTTCCAAACATGTATCTGGGCAGCGAACCCAGCTAGTCTTTTTGTCCCTTCAGACATGGTACACAGAAGAGAGAAGACCCACACTCTTTGGGCCTCAAAGAATATGTCAACCTTGGTATGTGAGTAGAAGTTAGGTAGGGTATCTGATGCTTCAAAAAGAGTTAATATTAATTTGAAATTAGTTGCCTCTTTTTTATTTTCTCTGAAAAGTGGGGAGGCTAAGTTTTACTTGGATGAAATCATCAAAACACAGACAAGTCATTCTTTAAGAAAATTTATTTGTTCCTTTATAGCAGAAATAGGGAAGTGGAATAAATCTGTGCAAAGCGTATGTCTGCAAAGTGGCTCTCATATCACATTCTTTCCATTGCAGGCTTCTTATAGCAACCTTACTCCCAGGTTTTCCAAATCCAGCACAAATACTTCTACTCTGTTTTGGCCTTCATAGCTGCCTCCTCTCTCAGACGGGCTTTCCTTTCCAGGTTCAAGCTTGTTAAAGACTCATGTCTTTTTGCTGCCTAAAAGGAAACAAAATTGAAGAAACGGTGATGCCACGTTGGAGAGTATGTTGTTCCCTTGTGTTGAGAACAGCAGGCTGACCCAGCAGCATAGACCGGAAGTGGTCAGCTGCCTGGACGCTGGGTAGAGTAGTGCCCTGTACACACCTTCTCTCCTCTCTGACTTGAGAAGTATATGTCTCTCCGTTCTCTGCCTTTACAACCTCTTTCTCCAAA